ATCCATACTTTATTTATTAGCTTGATGGTATTACGAGTTTGTGAAAAAAATTTGTTGCGTTTATATGCTATGTCGTAACAAAGTGCAGGATGAATCATAAGTTATGTCGATGTCTGTTCTGATGGGTTCAAGGCAACTAGATCATCTTCATTCAAAAAGATGTGAGGTCGTTTACCTGCATTTTTAGGTATTTACTGTACTGTAACTGTTTTAACTGTTTCAAACGCGAACAAGATTGGATTGTGCGCTAATAATAGACATTATACACTCTTTGATTTTCTCCCCTGTAGGCTGTAACTACGGTTAACACAAGCATCTAAGTTAAAGTAAATTAAATATTTCCGGTTTTAAACCGTTAAAGGTTTATTAAATTATTATACTCTGGATATTTTGGCGAACATTCGATGGATGGTGCGCAATATTGATTCACATACATTTTTACCTACTTTTAAAAATTGCGACCTTGTGCCAAAACAACCTAACATGAGTGGTGAGACCATATTGTAAGAATTATAAAATTTAGCAAACGGATTGCGGTTGCTTGGATAGCTCTTATAATTAACTATTGTACATTCTGTGCCAAGGTAAGGCGTTTAAAGTAATATAAAGTGTTTATCATTGCATTTATTTTGAAATTGTTCAGAATATAATATTATGTAGGATAATTGGTCGAGTTTCATTGAAAAAGGATTCAAATATTAATTTAATTTCGACATACCAAAGTAACAGTTGGTTGAGGGTTTTATGCAGTCTAAAGAATTTGATATTGTTTGGACATCTAACTGGCTCCAATACCTGCCTGTAAAATCGATCAGTTTAATAGACACTGAAGTTTATCTACTAAGCATTCTGGAAATAGGGGAAACGAAATTGCATTTCTCTAATAAAAACAATTACGATGCATTTCGTGCACGATACTTTTTCGACGTTTCCAAGCGTTAACGACCAACCTCCAGTTTAAACTAAGGATCGCTAGTTCTCATAGACAGCTGTTTTATTAATCATCTTGCTTAGAATGAGATTAGTTAAAGATATTACTATTTCACCAGGAAAGAAAAAGAAGCACATTAAACGGTTCAATTCTTGTTAGGTATTGCTTAAATAATTTTAACTTAAGCTACTTCTTCAACAACTCATTACTCACTCTGCATAATGATTTCGCTAGATCATAAATAATATTAACAAGCTCACGAACAATAGACAATGTATCTATTTCATATTGCTCAACAACAGGGCTACTGTAAGGTCGGCGAAATGTTATCCAGTTGACTTTTGACGAATCACTCTTAATTCACATTGCATAAGCTTCATTGTAACCCGTTATAGTTAATGCCTCACTGGTCTAGTGGTAGGTGCACTGAATTAGGAGATCCTGAGTTCGAATTCTTGTTCGACCAAAAAGCGACTTCGGTCTAAGTACCTTTTTAAATAAATGTTCTTAGAATTATACCGGAGTTTCCAGGATAATGCATCATCAACTCTCACTGGACCAGCGATCTCGCTCTGCCAAGTACGACATTAATAGATCGAAAGGATAACAAATTATTAATATAACGGCATACACACTCCAAATTATCATTGATGTACTGAATTTTAAGTACTATTTACAAAATCTGGCTCCATTACATTTAACACTTAATATTTTGAAAAGGTGCTTACTGTCAATATTATATTGTGAATACGTGTACAAACGTGTATTTTGAGTACTGAATTAAATTATGACCAAACAAAGAAATAGTAGATGATGACATCAAAGAATTAAAAATGGAAGAAATAATAAGACTTTGCAAAGAAACTGGAAGATTTGAAAGGAACACAGTTGGATAACCTAATGTCCTAATAATACTAGTATAAAACCATAATATTTACGAAATTCTGACCACCTTGCAATTTCAAGTAGAGTAGGTAACGAGGTACTGCCATGAGACTCCCATAACCTTATTCATAACCTTGATTCAAAAGCCTTCGCATTACTCATTGCTGTATAGATTACAACCACAGATAGCAGTGTTAATAAAATATAACTACACTTAAATTTTACTACGATCTAGATAAAAACAATACTGAGAAAAATCTGTCCTAAGTAGAATAAAAAGATATAGTATTAGAAAAATACTCAAATTATAAAAAATAATGTTGGGATAAAATAATAATAATCAACGATAGACGACGACAACCTGATGTTGATGTAGATAAATTCCAAAACATAAACTGCCTATGCGATTGAATTCAAATTTCTAATTACGATAAATTTAAAACTTCATTATTTTTCACATGTTATTGCGTATGATAATATTCTATAAACTAAAAATCTATTTAAAATTTTCTAAAACACTTTTAACGGTTTAAAACGCAAAATATATAAGTTATAGTTTTTAATTTATATTCATTACGATCCGACGTTTCGGATGCTTTAAAACAGCGTTACACATGAGAACGTGGTCATTATAATTCGCGCTTAAAACCATTAAAAGTGTTTTATTTAAATACTATATACTACTCACAATACCGACCTTAATTCATCTTTACTCCCGACCTCCATTTATATTTATAATATGTATATTCCCGTAAATTAACTTAGTATGTCAAAAGAATTACAGAAACCGTTTTTACTCAATCTCTGGCATAACATCAAAACATTTCGTCAACTCATTCCATTTCCCATAGTTGACATTTCTAAAACTCAGACCCTTATAACACAGCAGTAAAAAAGTCAATTTCTTCAGAATCCATTTACACCCCACCATCTAATCTGGCCCAAGGCCAATTTTGGTAACCGAAATAGTGTGTCATTTAATGTTTTCCGCATCCGTTTATAGTTTTTTTTTTGCTCCGATAACGACAGGTGGAACGCTATAAAATATAATGTTTATGTGTTTACTGTTCGGACCGGCGAATCTAGTCAGATTTATGGCTTTGAGAAATTATAAGTGTTTTGGCGAGATAGGAATACGTTTATTGTTTACTGATAATGGTTTTTAGTTTATGGCTCTTAACTTAGGTATTTTATTTAGATAAAAACGCGTTAAAAGATAAATATTTACTGATATTCTAAAGCTGGAGAATGTGTTTGTTGGTTTGTTAAACAAAATCTCGCTAATCTCGGGTCTAACTACTTGGTCAAATTGAAATATTATTTTTGTGTTGGTTAAATCAGGCTGCGACAAATAGAAGCGAAACAGGGGGAATGTGGATTGTTGGGAAAATTATTTAAAATACCCGCAACCGGGTAGTGCAAAGTACATTCAAGAAATGTCACTAATCGATTTCAGGTTTTTATGTTTTACAACCCTCTTTTTTGCAAGTTTCTTTACATGTTATTATTGTTCTAATTTTTTTATCGTTCTTAAAAATAATGTTACGTTGATTCTATAATCATAATTTAGTCAGTATGCAAAACATGGGTAATTTCCTCCGTAGCTTAAGCACGAGAAGACCTGGATTATCATTTCGAGATAAAATTTAATTGACTGGACTTGCAAAGACTAAAACAGGGTCCAACAACGGAACTCGTACATAAATACGAGTAAAGTCTGTACACATTATATTAAGCGCTCTTTCAGTTATACACTTAGAAAAGCCATAAATAAGAAGAGAAAAGCTCTTAGGAAATGCTTCTTCTCGTATAGAAGAATGAGGGTTGTGAAAAACATTATAAAATATAATATTATTATAAAGTATAAAGGCAGGAATATTATTTGAGATAGTAATATATTATATAAGCAAATTATCTATTTGAGCTGGGTAAGTCTAGGTGTACGCAACATTTTTATAATTCATTTATAATATTTATGAAACATCTTGAATTTCGTCTAGAAACCAGGATGTTAAATGAATGGTAAGAATATCGAATTTTCGTCAGGGTCAAGAACCATCGTCTCCCATCCTAGGGTATCACCTACCATCAAGTGAACCCAGGCTGATAGCATCTATCATAAAAAATATACTCGAAAATCATTACACTTCCTTTCAGCGCCGCCGAAGTCGGGTAAGTAAGATTAATACTCATGCTTCGAGTAAAGAAATAAATTATTTAGTTTCATAACTAACGACTTTATAATAGCACCGGATCTCTTTTGCACAGAAATATAGCAACATACTATGTTAACTGTGTATTAATATTAAATTTATATTATAAGGACAGGCATACCATATTTTAGGTCACTACTCACATGTGTATTCATTTACAGCTAAGTAGAGTCGAGGATAAGTACCGGATGACCATTCTTAAGGTTATTTGGTTTATAATTAGCATGATTAAATATTAATACTATACTTACTATAAAGGAAGATAGTTTTACAAACTCTTCAAAGACATAGTACATTATATCTAGATTATTATTCATAAAATGTAATGGTTTATAAGGTAGAACGAAGACTGTTTACATAACATTTATTTCGTTAAAGAACATAAAAGTCATTTTAAAAATACATAGATAAAAAGAAACTAAACCCCACTGTAAAAATGCGAGAAAAACACAAAGATACAATAATTCTTGAAAGCAAGAAGTGGTCTTTATAAATTTTGTGCTTGTATTTAAAAATGGAATATAAAAGCAACTTAAACTTGGAATCCCACGGGAGGTGAATGTCAATCCTCACCAGCTATCGTTTCTAGGGGGTGGTGGTCTGTAAAAAAAGTAAAATTACTTACCGCAATACAAAACCGGAACTACTTTTTAAAAATAGGCTTAAAACGCTCTTAAAACACAATAACTAAACCAAAAATAGCTTTTCAATATAATTCTAATTTTTATTTAACACTTCACTCACTTCGACCATCGCGGTCAAAGTGAAGATGAGTCTTTTCGGCCCTATGAATAGTTCGTCAGTATTTATTTAAAACTACCCGCGTGATGAGTAGTAAGTAATAATTTGCATATTTTAGTAATAAGTTGTTCAAGATATTGATTTTCGTTATCGAAATAGGAAATAAATGTCTCTTAACCAAACTAGAGTTATGATGGTTCCACCAGATGTGATCATGGTTAAGTGCCTGCCTATTCTAATGGAAGAATAATGGGTAATGTAGTCCATTTTTTCAATACGTACCCAGGTGGAGCACTCCAACTGTTGTCTTCGCAAACTGCAGTAGCTGGTGTTCCTTGTTGGCTGTGTAAACAAAGATTATAAAAAATCGGATTATCCCTATTCAATAAAAATACAATTGAACTTCCTTTTATAGTATATTAATTACTTGCTGAGCGCGATATGTGGAGAGGTCAAAAATTTAATTTAATTTTACTTAATATCTCTCCTAATCTTACTTACTATCACACATTGCTTGACATGCTTTGCATGTCTTTGATTTCGATAACCAATAACCAATTTTACATTTTAATTTATAACTATAATGCGCACTTATTTTTAAAGGTAGATTTATTCTCTACTAGTTTTGTGTATGCAATAAGATTATGTCCCATAGAGAGGAGCTTTGTGTAGGAGAAATATTTTTAAACTCGCCTGGGCTTTTATCAACTAGGCAAGGATTAGTAGGATTTTCCGCGCTTACCTTAAGTTTGTGAGGTTTAAAGTTTCTAACGCTCTGATCTTTTTGCCAAACGATCTCCATAGTTTTACGCAGAGAGGGGTCAGTGTGGTGCACCAGAATATACCTAACAGCACTCCACAGAACCACCAACCGTGCTGAAATTACGAGTACAATCACATTTTCAGCTATTTCAAAGGATTTTCAAGTGGCGAATTAAGTTTACTGGATTATAATAATTCTTAATAATCTGTCTCAATCAACAAGGAAAACACTAGTAGTTTATATGTTGTACTGGACGCGATTTACAGTTTTAACGGTTTAAAACGCGAAATATTAAGTTACCGTGACTATACGGCATTATTAACGGACTATCGTGTTATAAACCGTTAAGTGTTTTATTTCCATACTGTTTATGTTTATCTTGAAAGTAGGTAGGTACATATTATGTTAGGGGTAAATCAGACGTGTTATGTACCTAACAAGGTACATACACACCGTCTTGGAATTTTTCAATAGATTATAAATTCTCGACTTTGCGCATGCGACTAACAAATTTATAATAAGATGTTTGTAATAATTTAATCTCAATTTTAGATCATTCTTGATTCTTGATCATTCGTGTCGTTATATTTGAAAGCAAATTCGTGACTTTCCCCACTGTCTCCGTACCTACTATAGTTTTGTAAACCTTTTTTACGAAATTATTAAAACATTACTTAAAACTAATTAGGATATCGACTTGCGCGATGTCCGTTATTTTATTAACAGTTTTTCGCAATGTACTTAGTTGATTTAGCTAAGCACAAAAATTTTGCAAGCCGGATAGAATAATCATTAATTATATTTGACACGTTCATGAGGTTTACACACATTTCGGACGCGAAATTGAGACCAAATTAATAGTGTCAATTATTATAAATGGCTTATCGATAGCTTTGTAATCTAAACTAGCCGCTAGGGTATAATTTTATCTAACATTTCGCTATTATAGAGTAATTTCTTCTAGTTGGGAAAAGCGGATATATTGTTGACAGATTTAGAAATATATTAAACACGGGATACCTATTTAGTTATTACATTCGGTACCTAAACTATCATCAACAAAATGTGTATAAAATTTTTCCTCTGCTGGACATATCTATGTTTGATACTGTCTATAGTTTACGCGAGTAGTACACATTTAAATAAAACACTTTAACGGTTTAAAACGCGATATATTAGTTAAACTTATTTGAAAATGATTTTTAACTACCCGACGTCGTCCCCGTGACCAGTGCGAAAGCATCCGAAACGTCGGACCGAAGTTAAAAATCATTTTCAAATAAGTTTAACTAATATATCGCGTTTTAAACCGTTAAAGTGTTTTATTTAAATATCTATGTTTGTGCATTTTGTCTAGATGGGCTCGTTAGTCTATGGTAGCAATGCATGGCATTATTAGCCATCTATGGGTCGTAACTTCGATCCCCACCGGGTCCAAGATGTTTATAATTTTTCTGAAACATGATGGACTTCGTCTGGAATCTCTGGATCATCTGAATATTAAATGGGTGGTAGGAATATCGAAATTCCGTCCAGGTCACGAACCACCGTCCACAGATGAAAAGCTGTAAAATTTAACCGCATTTCGGTTTCAGTCTGTGGATTTCCGAATACCCAAAAGCCAAAATAGGTCGATAGCGCATCTTGTTAAGATGTTATATGGCTGGGGCATTTCATCTGTCTTTCCTCCTCTATATAAAAAAGAAATTTAGAAGTTTTTTACGTCAAATCTAGTGTAGATATGTTTATGGTACATTACTGGTTATAAATAACAAAGAAGATATATCACGCATACCAAAGAAGCGACGTATTTCGTACAAAACAATGAACGTATAGCTGAGTAGACGGTGAAAAGCGGGCGGCATTTCCCCGCGTGTTTCCCAGCAGATGTCAACACGTGTGTCCGCCAGCCAGCAGTGTGCGACACTAGCCGAGACACAAATGTAGACACTTTCTAGAATAAGAAAATAAAATATATCAAATTTATAGAGGTTGGTCGGTTTATATAAAAAATACGCCTTAAGTAAAATACGAAAATATACTTTTGATGTAATTCAAGCGTCGCATATTAAATAAAGAGTTTCTTGATTACAACTTGGATTTACCAAAGAAAACACTTAAAAAACATATTAGTATATAAGTAGAGAGAATACTCTTATACAGTTAAAAACAAAATTAGATATATTTATCTCCTATATAACCTCCACCTCCTATATAACTCTCGGGCTTAACGCATTGCTAGGCAACACGTCTAACCATTTAGCTACAGAGGTGTTCGACAGTCATCAAGTAAAGATTAAAGCATTACTTAACCAATGTAATGTATAAAGGATGTTTAAATAATTGGTGTAAAAAACAACGATAACAAAGAGCGAACCACAAACGTGTCATTTCACCTGAAAATAATGGCCAGCACGTATGAGTTTAATTACCGCGCGCTGTAAATGCAACATCCCTGTTTATTGTAAGAGCTTGAAAAAGCTTTACCTAGATCGAAATTTCAGTGTCGATATTTTTGTAAACTCAAAATATCATGTAATTTAAATTTATATTCCCATGTAGTTATTGGCGTAGCTCAGTGGTGAATGGTGTACAACTTGTCCTCAGTTTTAATAACGAGAAAGAAGGTTTCCGTCTGCTAAATAAAAGTACCAACCAGTATCTAAACAAAGTAAATAAGGATACAAATTCATCCATCCTATGACATAATTGAAAAATAGTGAAGTTTGAAATTCGAAAACATTTCAAAATTTAAAACGACGAGTTTTTCTGTAGTTAACGTAAGTAGTATACATTTAAACAAAACACTTTTAACGGTTTAAAACGCGTAATTAATAAGACCACGTTGCCGTCACCACGGCTGCTACAAAGCACCCACACGTCAGGCTGTAGTTAAAGTTAATTAAAAAAAAGTTAAGTTATATATTTTAGGCTTTAAACCTTTTAAACTGCTTTATTTAAATCGGACATGTTTAGGAACTTTTCTGCAACAGTTGGCATCAATAACTTATAGTAAAGTTTACTATAGAAATTAGAATTAGTAGGGATTTTATAAGTCTTATAGTTTATATTTAGTGCAACTAGGGTATAGATTTTAATAAGAAATTCAGGCGTTATTAATTGTACAAAACACCAAACCTTCTGAGCTATTATATGTCCTTGGTTGTTGATATAAAACTGCGCAGTATGGATGTGACTTAAAGAAATATTTAATTTTCTTCTAAACGGAATCAATTGTAGCTCTAATTCCGTCAGTCTAAAGACTAAATTCGCTCGCAGCTGTTCCAGTGGTTTTATATTCGTCGAGTGTAATTTTTGGGTTCTTGAAGCTGAAAGTAAAGCTTTGTGTTTGCTGACATTCGTACCACTTGCAGCTGTAAGTTATACGTCTTAATTACTAAAGCTTTTGAGAACTACAGATTCATTCTTGCGTTTAATAGTCTCTCAGTACAAAGCTTTTTTTCTAATTAAGCACAAAGCGCCAAACTTATGGTTAATGTTTAAATGAATGCAAAATATGTTAAAAATGTGAATAATAAGCCTGCTGAATATATGAAAAAATTTACTGTAAGACAAAAAATCTTCTAAACTTTGCATATAAATAATTATAAACTATTAAAAATTACAAACTTTGGAGTATATAATTCCAAATAAGTACTCAAGTACCTATTCCTTCTAAATATAAAAGTGAAATCAAATTGTCCCCCGTGGGGCATCGAGCGCAAATGTTTCTGATGCCATTACATTGATCGGTTCGTTTACAGGCAAGTAATTGATAAGACCCCTATGCTCTACCCGACTAAAACAATTTTTAGTTCCTCAGGATTCGAACCCAGGACCTCTCGCTAAAAACTATACTAGGCGTACGTGTAACGTTTTGACTACAAAAGCGATCAATCTCATAAGGATTAATATGATCGCACGATATATATACCTAAGGTTTCCAATCTTCCCGCCGTTGATAGGTCAGTGACCTGCGCTGCGACGTTTTCCAGCTGGTCCATTAGGGAGGGTAGATCCTTCCCTACTACTGGGCCATCGTATTCTAACCTTGAATATATTAGTAATGCACAAGACATTCTTATAATAAATAAAAACAATAGAATAACATGTAGGTAAGTAAATTTAATTATCCCACGAATCCCAAGAACTATTATTCATGACGTAATGTAAAAATAGAAAAAAAAAATAGCGTCTTAACGTGTAAAATCTAAAATATTGAGATTTAAAGAAATAAGATATTTTTATTTATTTAACGTATTAATAATAATAAAGATTGCCGCAATAACATAAATTACAAGGAAATTCGTTTAAATTTGGATGAGTTAAATCAAACTAAGTCTCTGTTGCATAATTTCAATAAAATAAATGCGATATTTATATATTCAGATACCTTTTGAAACAATTTAAACAACCACTAAGGTTTTTAAGAAAATTCTATAACCTCAGAACGATTTACTATATAATATAGGTACTTAGTTATTCTCGAATAAAAACTAGTGGATTTCTTTAGCCACTTAAATCTAGTGCAAAATATATTAATTAAGTTATGCTAGTTTTCCGGTAGAAAATGCGATTCTTAAACGATCTTAAATTTATTAAACATTTTTGCTTATTTATGAAACTTGACTCAAACCTAGATTTAGCTTTTTATAAGTGAGGAGAACGGACAAAGAGCTGGTTCATTTATAGAATTAATGTCCGAACATTATGACACCTTTAAACTCACTGTCGACCTATTTTTGATCTAGCTTTTTAGAAGTCCACTTCTTCGTAGAAACCTTTCCGACTTCACGTTTATTCCTGACGCGGAGGGATTTCGATATTACTGTCTTTAATATCCATTCTTTTTTTAAACGCCTAACAAGTTTAAAAAGCAATTACAAACATGCTACAATCTACAGAAAGTGCTATCCTGTGCCTGTAAAAAGTTTTCATATAAGTATTAACAAAACAAGCTTACCTATATTTGGTCATATTAACATCCGATATATCCAGTATATCGTGTAATAGCCGATTAAAATGAAACGAAATAGTTTTTAGGAACCCCACGTCTATAGCTGATGAGAGTCTGTCCAGGTCCGCCTGAAGTTCCTCCCATTCAAAGTACGATGTCTCCTTATTGACGTCCAACATTTTGTCCAATTGAAATACGACGTATGCCGGACGGTTCTTTTCACAATCTCTGAAATATATTATATATGATGAAAAATTAAATTTATAAAATACTTTCTCTTATTTACATTCACATTCTTGTATAAAGAAGCAATTATCTTCAGAAAACTTTCAGGTGAATTAACCTTTAGTAAGAGGTAAGTAGGTAAGGTAAGGATTCTTGATAACTACCACCAACGGTATTGATGCAATGTACAATAGCAATTTATTATTTAATATTATGAAAATATAATTCATTACCATATATTTTCATTAAATATTGTTTTCGTTGTAGTAAAGAGTTTTCTAAAGTTTTCTAAATGGTCTTAAGAATTAATAATAATATCGAACTAACGATATGGCCCAATATTCTTTAATAGTGAATACCGAATATACAATTACTGACCTCAATACATCCCTGACGGAGACCTCAATCGTCACATTTTCTAGTTCACGTAGTAACACATCGAAAATACCCTCATTATGTTGTAAAAGAGGCGAAGGTCGGTCCAAGAGAGAGGAGAGAGTACTATACTGCGGGGAGTCCCATAACGCATGACATATGAACACCTGACAATTTTTCAAATAACATTTTTGTATACGATATAACTAAGAAAAAAGAACTATGTGCAAACCGTTCTATAGTTATATGACTACCCGACTTTAACCCTTTTAAGGGATAAAACGTGAAATATATTAGTTAACATTCCCTGGTGACGTTTTCTGCATCGGACGAGACGTCAGGCTGTAGTTAAAATACATAACAAAAAAGTTAACTAAAGAATTACGCGTTTTAAACCGTAGAAAGGGTTTTATTTTAATTTATAAGTGTAATAATATATTCATAGTGTACACTAAAGAAATAGACTTTAGTTGAATATAACCAAATTCTAAAAAACAAAGAAATAACGTTTGTTAACGCCTGATGTAGAAAAAGTGGCAAAATGGCACCGATACATGTTCTTTTTACGATGATAAATTTTAATTATCATCTCCAAAACGTATTCTTATATCATAAATGTGGTAGTAAGTAATTTCTGCAAGCTTTAATTTAGGAAGCAAAATGGCGTTTCCGCCGGAAAACTAGTAATTTATTTACCTCAGCGTGTCCTGCGATGAGAAAAGTTGCGGATATCACGCACCATAAAATTATAGAGACTAGACACAACCATAGGGACGATCTGAAAGAAATTACCTTTCATCGGCGTTCATATTGTTATTAATATTTAGAGTCTAAAAGAAGGAGAAAAAAATGGAAAGTTAAAAAGTTGTACTTTTTAAGTCTAACGCCCAAAAAAACGGAACCAAAAAAAATATAGGATATAATTAATTCGGTACACAAACATATATTATTTAATTGTTATTTAAAGCATTTATTTCCAAATTGAACTATAGAAGAGAAGGTGAGCAAGCAGGAATATATTTTATTTTAATTTCGGATTCTTAAGTTTAAGATTAACGCCTTGTTACTAAGTAACTAAAAGATAATAGTTTTGAGCAAAAGTAATAAGTAATTAAAAGTGTACCCCATGTGCCAATGCCACTTACACTTGTAAGGTTCTCTTTGCGTGAATTTTCGCATTTCCACAACCACAAAGCAAAGCGAGAAATATTAGAATCATAACAAAAGCGAAAGCTATGGTACATGCTGAAACAAAAGTTTAAACATCAATTATTATTGTAAGCGACTGTACGCTGCGAAAAGCAGTTGAAAGTAAATTGCTATGTTTTTACAATAGGATTTGTTAAATACTAATTCGCTACATCAAGTGTTCCATAAACATACAATTAAAGTATTCTACTCAGTATATCGGTGAACTCAATATCACTCAAATCTAAAACCAATCTACATAAGTTTAAATATTTTACAAAACAATACGTCGATCGTAGGTCCGCTTCCTAACGTTTTTATTATTTTTAATTCAAAATAGTTTATATAAGACTATAGATCTGCGTCGTGGTGTTTGCGTGAGTTCAAGGTCTACTAAAATATTTATGTTATTTGTTTATAGTTAAAATAATAAATGGAATAATGAAGAAATAGTTTAGCATTTCTACGGATTCCCGTGTCACAGTAATCTTGTTAACATTATGTGGAGTACTAAGATTCCATTGTTTACCTAACATAAGGATCCACCTCCAGAAGTCATACTTCTCAAGTCGCTCCAAGCCACCTTCCAATTTGTGGGCCAAACTACGCAACCCTGAGGTCAAGTGACGAACTATGTTCTTCAACACCCTAGCCGAGTTGTGGACCATTTGTCGACGGATTTCTATATCTCGAATTACATCTGAAAAAATATAGATAAATATTTCAATAATTATTATCTGTACTAATATAATAAAGTAGAAAAGTTTATTTGTTGGAACGTGGTAATCTCAAGAAGTAATAGTTCGAATTGAAAAATTGTTCGTGTGTTGGTTGGACCACTTATCGAGGAAGGTTTGAGGCGTATAAAAGTATGATTTTTTAAATGAACTAAAAAAGTGTCAAAGTCAAAAATCATTTATTCATGTAGGTAACTATGTACACCTATGAACGTCACAAAATAATTATAGAATCTAACTTTACATTTACTACCAGTTCTCAAATCAAGGGCGTAGAACGAACGAGAAGAACTGGCAATAAACTCGCCGTCACTCCTTTTATCGCCAAGTTTCATTTTACATTCTTGATTTACTTTTAGTATACAACATATTTTTCCTTGTAAGAGCGGGTTCCTCCACACCCCAAGCATTTTTATCATTCAAATATTGATTAACATGAGAATAACCCTTTTCAAGCAATTTTTGTTTTACATACGATTTAAACCTATTTATTGAGAGTGCTTGCACTTCGCTGGGGATTTTATTAAAGAATCGTATGCAGTTACCTTGTCACCGTCAGTATACGTCTATCTTTTAAGATTAGCTGGCAAGAACGAGACGCGGCCGACGCCATGGGCACAGCTATTATAATATATAATTCAATGCATAGCGCTATATTTTATGTGCATATAAGTCTATATAATGCGGTAGAAGTTAATATACGGAACTCAATTCCAAACCCGCAAAGACTGTATATTTTTTATTTGTTTCCAATGTCCAACAAGTTTCGTTATCTCTATCGGGAATAGTCTAACGTTTCGCTGCGAATGCAGAAAGAGCTTTAGCTTGAGTTTTAATGAAGTTAATGTAAGTAAACAGTTACCATCTCTTACAGTTTCCGTCTGCTCGAGGATTGCGGAAGGTAAAGTTTGGAACTCCTGTCTCGCCTGTGATATTGCTTGAGTTAAGTTTTCCACGCCGAGGGATCTTAGCTCCAACAATTGTGGTTCTTGGAGTATCTGTCAATACACACTTTCATTAGTTACCGTCTTGAATCGAATTTAAAATCTTACAAAAAAGTTGGAATTACAATATTCCTACCACCCATTTAATATTTAGATTTGCAGACGGACTTTGGACCGGGTGGGGTTGTTAATTATTAGCTATTTCCTACTATTCTTATACCGTTTAACGTCTTAACATCGCTGACTGTTTAATTTGAGTTTATTTGTCATATAAAATGGAGCTGTCATACAAATTATGGCGACTTGTTTTGTTTTTTTGTTTGTTTTATAGTTGTGGACATTACCCGCAGTATTAAGATTTCTTTATCGTTACAAAACTAGTCTAGAATCTCACCGAATCAAACTGCATCTGTAGTTTCAGAGTATTCGTATTAATGGTGTCGCAAAGTGGTGCATCTTTACTTGAACAAAGCTTCTTCAGGTTGTCTATCTGTCGTCTTAGCTCTTGGATCCTGTCAGAAGCGACCGCGGCCAGAGTCCTCGCTTTCATAGTATAGTTACGTAGTGATGTTATCTTTAAGGATATATCCTTGCTCTCTGTAATACACAATATTATACAACATAAATTATTACGCACGACGTTTTTATCTCGGATCTTATCGTCCTTGTTAATCGTGCAGTCTTTCGTTTTATTTTTGCATGTTCAACGTGGTTTATTGAAAGTTTTTCTGTGGAATTACGTTTACGAATAAGAAATAATTATATATAGTTATAGATATAGTTTAACCCGCTTATAAAAAGTGACATTGCCAAATGTCACTACATATAAGCTAATAGTCGTAAACAGTACTAATTTGGAAAGACAATGTAAATGTTTTTGTTAGTGCAGGGGTTCAAAGAAACTAAAGAAGATGTTTGTAAAAAAAATGAAATATAAGTAATAAGTAATATACGACATTTTATTGTAAAATTAATCCCATTATAAAGTCCAATAAATTAATACAATAGTATAATTACATCGTAGTTACCGTTTTCATACTACTTAAAACGTTGTGTTATAATATATAGTTCGATTTTTAAATAAAAGAAGACGACGTGACAAATTCAATAGTTTTAAAAGATTTAAATTTTAGACTTGAATCATAGAATAAACTTAACATACCTATAACAATATCCATCAAAGAGTCTAGGACAAAGTCGATGCCGCTTTCCGAAGCTATAGCTTGTTGTATCGGATCTCCCAAAAGTGTATCTACATCTGTCAAAGTAAAGTACCTTCATGATAAGACTTATTAATTTATTTTGCGGGTAGTTTCAAATAAAAAAGCAATCTTAATTCTTTGTTTCATTTAGATTATTCAATATATAAATATTTTTAATAAGTAATACTGTGTTGTCAAGAATTCGATTCCTATTAGGTATTCAGAACGGATATTTACACCTTTGTATACCTAGAATTGGTTGGAATTTGAGATAGTTAACATTTTTTTTATGATAGAGAAGGACACACTAGCATGAGATTCACATGGTAAGTGCAACACCGTAGCCATATAAAATATTAACAAGACGCATTATCGACTTTCGGAAATCCACAGACTAAAAACGAGACGTGATTCAAATTGGCGGTTTTTTAATCTGTGGTGGACGGTGGTTCGAAATCTGAATGGAATTTCGATACTCCTACCACCCATTCAATATCCGGATTTCCAGACCAAGTTTCAAATTATAATAGATTAGAAAAGTGTTGGACCCAGTGGGGATCGTTGATTATTAGCAATCAAATATGATTAAATTTTAGCTGTCAAAATATGATTAAATGTAGCTTTTTTGATGTCAACGTTTTCTAAGTAAGGAAATAAATTCTTTTAACTTTAAACTTTTTATAGTAGATTCCCAAATTTTCATACAATTTCCATAGTTATTTTAGAAGACACTCACTCTTTAGATCATTCTTATATGCGTACAAGACCATGTCAATGGGCGGGACAAGGCCCTGATGCAACTCGCGCGCAGCAGCGGAAAGCCACGCCGCTATATCGGAGCACGCGCAGCTGACTACGTTTCGACTATCTGTGGCCGCCATCCGGGATTGTTCGTTACTAAGCACCATTCCCGCTATGAGAGAGCTGGAAAAGTCAGGACTAAAGTTAATGTCGGTTTTGGACACTTGATTTGATATGTACTTCGGAAGAATCAATAATAAATTTATAATTTATTAGTCATTATTATACGATATAAATGTTCAATATTTTTTTTTGCCAAAATAATTGAAAATTAGAAATACTACCCTATTAAAAAACCGGCCAAGTGTACAAAATGTAAGTTCAGATAGTTATTTCTTGGTCCCATGGAAGCGTAGAGAGCTACCACGCTATTTAGTAGGACGTTTGTATCTTAATATACAAGTATCTAACACTAGTTGTGTCAACGACTTTGTCTGCGTAAAATAGTTAATTTGGGCATTCAAATTTGTTTTTGCAAAACTCCTTTTCATCTTTAAAAATTACCCAACACGTTTGGGTCCCTCTTCTTGAAAGTTAACCTTAAAGATACTGTCGCAGACATTTTGAAGGGCGTTTAAAGGAATCATTCTTTAATATATATTTTTTGGGTGTCTTAAACTGTTTTCGCAGCGTACGCATCAGAAACCCACTGAGATGAAATAGTATACGAACCAGTAGTTTCTGAGATTAGCGTGTTCAATCAACCAAACACTCACCTTTATATCAGTATAGCTACGAGTATCTTACATGTATGAATAAAACCATAATGAATGAAGCTTAAGCTTAAGACATCCTTTTGGTTCAATAACGTTATAATAGAATTAATGAGATCAGACTTTCACTAGCCGTAAGGGTTGTCACTAAGAGGGTTCAGTTAATGGTTTGTGTGTGAATGAATTTTACCAGCCCCCGGTTCAATTGCGTTAAAAGCTCCGAATCGAATCGAAGGTAAGTGCCACTTTTTCGTTGCCCTGACTATTGTTAAAGTTCAGGTCGAACGCAGAACCGCATAAACTCACTTTGGGGATAATTACTACGTCGGTCTTCGGTTTAAAATTGTCTTTGAACACATTATAATTGTAAGTACATAAATAACAAAACGTCGCAAATCTCTTTCTGTAGTTTACACGAGAAGTACGTACATTTAAATAAAACATTTTTAACTGTTTAAAACGCTAAAGTTATTTTTAAATGTGACGACATTATTTAAATGTTGAAATGGCAGAGCTTTAATTTTTTCTTTATATTTTATTTTCAATGTCTTATAGTCTCTTTTTTCCTTATATACATATTAAATAGTTACATATACATATGTATATAAGGTAATCACAAGTATTTGTGATTACCTATAGTAGTTTATACACTTACCCGCATAGTAGAACGACTAAAAATGTCACGATAACAACACTTTTGTCGTTACAATCTGGCTCAGCGTCAGGGAACAACGCGCCGGACTCCAATTCATCGTCATGATTAGACCCTGGGAGAAGCGATAGAACCGCCAGGATGAGGAGGTAAATTGGTATGATAAGCGCGAAACAGGCGAATGCTATGACAAAAGCTAGAAATGTTGACTCCATTTTGATTGACTGTAAGCAAAATTACGTAAAAGTTGTTAGTTAGTTATTCATATAAACAAATAATTGCTATCTATTTTGAATTTGATTTTATAATAATTGAATTCAAAGTAGCAAGTACAAAGCTAATAATAATCAACAAGTCGTGGTTGATCCCCAGATTAAGTTTTAAAATTTGATAGACCAGATTAAAAACTTGTCTTAGCAATGTATCTTTGTTTTAAAACATATTACAAATGTATGAAACTCTGGATATTAAATTATTGGATGGATTCTATCGAATTCTGAACGGGTCACGAACCACTGTCCACAGATGAATAGCCGCCAAGTATAAACGCGTTTCGATTTCAGTAGTGAATTTGCGAATAGCCATTAATTTATAATAGGTTGATAGCTCATCATTTAGATAATACATGGCTACCATTAAGTTAACTCCATGCTTGTCTATCGTAAGGAAAAAAATCGAAAAATTTTCGCTACCATACTTTATATGCGTTGAGCTAAGCTACCGAAAAGAACGTTCCGAGTTCGAATTTCGGGTTAACACGAAAATTTTGAAATTGAAAACAACTTTTTTCAATTTCAAGATCACTATGAAATACACATATTACAGCATATATAATAATAACAATATATAATGTATTCGCTATAATTATAGTATTTTGTTGCTAAAGATATATAAACTTTCTAAGACTCATCGTCAACATCGTTAGGGTCGTGAAAAAAAGCTAACACACGATCATTAGGGAACTAAGTGTGATATTATGTTTATTGAGACATTTATCATCGAGTAATATATTATATGACTTAATTCTCAGGGTTAGTATGCTTTTTATTAATTCCTGCTATGGCATTATCATTGTTTCGTTTACTTAATGCTTAAATATATAGACATTTCTTTATATATGATTACTGTAATGTGATTTATAAAAAGTGCGTTATTGGAAAATATAGATTTAAAAATCCATTACACAGGCGGCATTTAAATTCTCGATCAGCAACGTTCCATGTTATCACTTTAACCTGCTAGGGTATCACCGTATCTGTTAGTTCTATTTTTTTAGTGAAGTGCACAGAGGTACGATTAATACGGTTGGTCGAAAGTTCTAGTCCTCTTGTGTCATCGATATTTTAAAATCATGTCACTTTTGTATCAATTTAAACAAGGATTCACATGATGAAAGGTGAAATACCCTAGACAGCAAAATTTCAACAATATGTGCGTCTGACCTAAACTCGACAGACAGACCTAAACATGATTACACTTCACAGCTTTTTCATCAGTGAACGGTGGTTCGTCACCCGGACGGAATTTTAATATTCCTGCCATCCATTTAATATCCAACTTTCCAAACGAAATCTGTTGGACTGTTATAGAAAATTGTATATTGATTAGGAACTTATTGAAGACTCAACCATTTGATTAGCCATACGTAAATTGCAAACGAAGATACACAAAAAAGGGCCCAGAAATAAATTCTATAGCACCCACAAAACCCGTCTTTGTTAGACTAAACAAGTTCGTAATTGAATATCTCTCGCTAGTAACGAGAATTACTATAAAAAATCGTCTATGTCGAGAACTCATTTAGTTTTTTACCCTTATTAATACACGAATCTATAATAAGTTAAATTACAATTTCACACGTTAAATATATATTATTAAAAAAAAAGTATCCGAAATAATTACGATTGATGCAAAGGAAATGCACATAATATTTTAAATAACTCAAAGAGAATTCGGTCAAGAGTGTTCTTTGAAGGTTGAATAATTTACTGTTTTGAATTTTTCGTACACATATCACATGACATCCAGCTCACCTCATGCCTAGACATATAAGGCTTTAAGACAATTAAATAAATGTAGGCTAATATCTTCAGCGAAGACAAAGGTTTAGAAAATTACGCACTTATTAGATTCATAATGGTGATATTCTATAAGTTGCTATCTTGTCATCATTTCACAGTCAATCGTCTTATTCACCGATGGGTTGTTAATTCGATTTCCGACGGGCTCAACAATAATATATTTTTTTAATATTCTTTTGTTCCTGAACATCAAACTTCCTTAGAAACTTTGTAGCAAAGCGGTCACCAACCTTTGTACTATACTAATAGGTAGCATATAAAGTTTTTAAAAACAGTATGACGTAGTCAAACGGAAGTCAAAAGTTCCATATTATAAAATCAGGTTTGCTATTTTTACCCAAACTACCGTGTTGACTGGTTAAAGGTCGCCCTTTTATGACAAGACTAATCAAAATTGTTTGTATAGTTTTTTAAATTATATTTAGTTGAGAAGACAATGTAAAAATCGTGAAATCGTGTAATGTACATAAAATCGAGTAACTTCGAATTGGGAATTTTGTACTTAAATTTAAAATTCCTAGTTTACACATTACTACATAGATTACACTTACAGATTTCAATAATATTTACAAAACACGTAAAAAATATACAATGTTTGACCTATTTAATTGAATAGCTTAGTTAGAATAGTTAGCTTATTTTTCTGAAACATTTGTACTTCGTCCGGAATATCCCGTCCGGGCCACGAACCACCGCCCACAGATGAAAAAGTCGTCAGCTTTCATCGCGTTTCGGTTTCAGTCTGTGACTTTCCGAATATCCAAAGCCAAACCATCAGGTAAAACCCATGCTGTTTCCGTCTTCCTTTAAATACTGGATTACGCGAATACACATTAAAATAAAACGCTTTACGTCGTTACGGAGAGATGCTACCACTGCCACCAATCCGAAACGTCGGGCCGTACTTAAAAACATTCTCAAATAAGTTTAACTAATATATATCATATTTTGAACTATTAAAAATTGTAATGTCTTGCTCTATCTTAAAAAAATATATAAAGGAAACTTATTAAACAACTTAGGATGTACATAAATATGTTTTATGCGAGACTGGAACGTAGAATAACATTCTTTTGTAATTAGATGGATTACGGGCAATCCAAAGTTACACTACATTATTAAACTGGTCTATCCTCAGTCACATTGATCGATCTTCTCAATCAAATTGCCAAATTAACCAATTAGTGGATACCCCAAGTCAATAGCCTCTGTCGCTGTCTAATCGATTAATCGAGAGCAAAATGCAGTGGTCTCGGGACCAAATTACGCTACGAATCTTTAAAATAAAACACTTTTAACGGTTTAAAAAGGGGAAATTAATTCGTTGATCTTTGTAAATTACTAGCGACGGTGCTAGCGACTTAATAAAACAGTTATTTTGGGCATTAAAATATGTTTTGCGGTTGACGCGCGCACGCAAGCGGTCACCGAGTCATTGCTAATTATCATTTGTATTTTTAATGTATAAAACTTAATACGTTAGTTGACCTGAAAGTTACTTCTTTGTTAACCTAACTAAACATACTATCAAGAAAACATCAAACATAAGCTGGTTTAGTGCAATATTTCGAAGATTTAGTGAATAAAGTGCGATAACGTGTCAGTGCAAAATCTATTTTGCAAAATTCGTATGACTCATCACTTACGATATATCGAAAGTACGAGCCACCTTTACCTGTAATTTGAAACAAACGTTACCGCACCTGTGGTATAACGGTGTCGACTAACGTAATTAAAGTCTGTCGAACCGAGATCGATCCTGAGTTTAACCATAACTTTATTTATTTATTTTTTTTCTATTCTTTCTTTATCGCAACTCATTATGGATCAGCAAACTATTGTAATAGCTTGCTCAACATGCACATCAAGATTTAATCTATCGGATACTAATATCTCGCTTAAGGAATTTGCCTTAATGTCTTTAGATGACAACTTTTCGTGGGAATGTAGCGATTGTATAAAAAGAAATTGCATATCATCGCCTAATTGTTCTCAAAGTGTTCATGTCCAGTCTTTAAATGACAAGAACGAAGCCAGGTCGTCAGTGAAGAAGGTTGACCTTTTGTCTGAGATTCTCAGTTTACGGCAAGAGGTATCTAATCTAAGGGAATGTCTTAATAAAGCGACTTCTCTTATGACGAACTTGAACTGTAAGTTAATGACATGTACTAGTCAAGTATTAGCCCTTAATGATGTGTCGAAGATATCATCTACTCCTTGCTCGCAACCCTCAATGACCTCACAGGATAAGTTGACATCAGTGCCACCCAAGATGCCCAAAGGGAAGAAAAAGCAAAAAAAGATATCATCATCTTTTTGCCAGCGTAGTTCTGAACTGGCAGCGCAACAGAAGCCTGCTGTCCATACCTGTTCCGAAAATCCTCAACAAAACTCATCCAGCAACACTCAAATTAAATCCCGACATAATCCACTATTAGAGGGTACCGCAGGACCTAGCGTTACATTTCTAAAAGCGGTTGAACCTCGCAAACATTTGCATTTGTGGAATATGGAATCGAATGTTGATGACATACGTCAATATCTAAACCAATTGTGTCCAGGAAAAAACTGTACTGTGGAAGAGCTTAAATCGAGAGGTGACTATAAATCTTATAAAATAGGTATACCCACGGCCTGTCTAGATGTTTGCCTGTCAAGTGAAGTTTGGCCCGTAAACTCAAAAATTAAAATATGGAGTGTTCGCCGCAGAAGGCCACTGACTGCGCATTCTGGGCAAACTAACCAGCCCTTTCGTGCCGCAACCAATGAGGAAAATTAAGTCACTAGATATATTATATCAAAATGTTCGTGGCCTAAAAACTAAGCTCACCAGTTGGAGAAATAGTATTGCCGCGCTTGACAACCACTTGATAGCGGTTACCGAGAGTTTTTTGGATGGCTCCGTTGAAGACCAAGAATTGATCTGTGTGGGATGGAGTGTCTTACGCCGCGATAGGAAAACTCCATGTGGTGGCGTTTTAATCGCTGCTCGTGCCCCTATTCTTTTGAAACATTGTAAAGAACTTCAGACCGACGCGGGCGAAGATCTTTGGGCTAGTTTTGTGTGGCTTGGCCGAAAGATTTTTGTTTGCGTAGTGTATATAAAGCCGTCTGCGGGTGATAGCGAATATATGGCATGGTTCTGTAAAGTCGAGAGTTTCATCCATAGTCTCAAAGCATTTACCGTTATTATTCTAGGTGACTTAAATTTAAATAGTGCATCTTCAAATGTAAAGAACTATTATTGTTATTTTTTATCATTTTGTAATATTTTAGAACATAATACTGTACCTAACTGTCATGGAAGATTTTTAGATGTAATTCTTACACGGGAGAGCGATGAGGTGCGAGGAATAACCGTTATGGGTACGGCGGGCCTAGTTCCACCTGATTTGTACCATCCGCCATTAAATATAGAGATTTTGTTTAATTTCGTACGTCATTCCGATTCTATTGCACCTAGTAATATAGATTCTGCAAAAGATTGGAACTTTAAGAAATGTGACTTTCAACAATTACAACGTTATCTCAGTCAAGCTTCTTGGACTAATGTATTGCAAGCGAGTGACGTTGATAAGGCTTGCGAACATTTCTATTCTACACTTTACGACATCTTCGATCTTTGTGTACCCAAAAAACATCGGAGATCCAAATGTCATCGTTATCCGGTGTGGTTTACAAATGACATCATCAGAGATTTAAGACGGAAGGTTAAGTTGCATGCATCCTGGAAACGCTTGAAATCCAACGAGGCTTACATTGTTTTTTCTCAGCTTCGATCAGAATTAAAAACTCGTATTGATCAAGCTTACTTAAATCATTTAGGAGTAATTGAAGAAGACCTTAAATTGAATCCAAAGAAGTTCTGGTTGCATATATCGAGCTTACGCTCTAAGGGGGGTTTTGAACCGCAAGTCTCATACCGTGGCTTGATCTACTCGGGGCGAGAAGCGGCTGGTGCATTTGCTTCTTTCTTTAGCAATGTGTTTTTATTTGATCCGCCTCTGTTGGATTTTGAGAACTGTAATAACAGCGATGGCACTTGTCTTAACGATAGTATTGATATTGTTGGTCTAACTTTAAATGACGTCATTTCTGGTATTAAACAATTGAAATCTAACAGTTCCATTGGGCCTGATGGTATCCCGCCAGATTTCATTAAAATATATAGAGATGTCTTCTCTGTTCCACTACATCATATTTTTAATGTTTCTCTGACGTCCGGAATCTATCCTTCAAGATGGAAACTTTCAAGGGTTACTCCCATTCCTAAAAGCTCCAATAAAGCAATGGTGGAGGAGTACCGACCTGTTGCTATTTCCTCGTCACCAGCTAAACTATTCGAAAGTATTTTACATAAATATATATACGCCCAGGTTAACAAGTATTTATGTGATGAACAACACGGTTTTAGAAGGAAAAAGTCAGTAGAGACAAACCTTTTGACACTTGTGGAATTTATCTCGGTTGGGTTAGATCATGGTCTTCAGGTCGACGTGCTGTATTTCGATTTACAAAAGGCATTTGATCGTGTGGACAACGATATACTTCTCAGTAAGCTCAGCGCTATAGGTTTTAGCACAACTCTAATAAAATTTTTTGCAGATTACCTTCGTGATCGCCAGCAATTTGTCAGACTTGGGTCTTATGATTCTAAGCCCTATTTCACGCGATCCGGAGTTAGTCAAGGATCAATATTAGGTCCTTTGTTGTTTCTTATCATGGTGAATGATCTTCCATCAGTTTTGCCGCATACAAGGTGTCTTTTGTATGCTGACGATTTAAAAATTTTTGCAGAAGTTAAATCGTATGACGACTGCCTTGCTATTCAAAATGATATTAATGCCATTGAACAGTGGAGCATCGATAATAAGCTTATTTTTAATTTATCCAAATGTCAAGTGATGACTTTTAGTCGAAGATTTCATCCATATATATACGATTATCAAATTAATGGTTCGTCGATAGCAAGGAAATCCCTTGTTAATGATTTAGGCGTTACATTTGATAGCAAATTGACCTTTCACGATCATATAGTCGAACTGTCCAAGGAATCATTTCGACGCCTTGGATTTGTCCTGCGCAATGTTCGCGACTTTCGCAATAGGCATGCGATATGCCTTGTATATATGTGTCTTGTCCGCAGTAAGATGGAATCGAGTTCGTCCGTGTGGAACCCTCACGAGGGAAAATATATACTCATGCTTGAGAAGATCCAAAAAGCCTTTCTGCGGTTTCTTTACAAACACCAATACGGTTTTTACCCCTACTTGTATCCGACCTTGTTTTTATTAGGACAGCTTGGCTTTAATTCTCTTGAAAGTCGCAGATCTCGTGGGCAATTAGTTGTAGCTTGTAAGTTGTTTCGAAACCAAATCGATGATACTTATTTGAGGGAAGCCTTCTGTCGACTGTTTGTACCGAACAACTATGGCCGCGCTAGAAGACACGATCTCTTTGACGTCCCGAGAGGTCGCACCTCTGCTCGCGCGTTTTCGCCGATACCACGAATTTTAACCTCGCTCAACGCTCTCCTCAAGTTAAGACCCAAATGTGATCTTTTCGCAGATCACTGGTCATCAATACTGAGAGAATTGTCTGATTTTTAAATTTTGTCCTAATGTAATTGATGCATACTCTATTTTTAAGTGTAATTCTATTGTGTACTTCTATCCAATTAATGTAAGTGGCTATCGCCGTTTTAATTGTCTTTATAATAAATAAATAAATGTTTTTGCAAACCTTCTCCTCGTCTTTATAAATAAGGTATAGCTGTTACCCACGATGTCGTTCGCCGTCGTTCATGCAAGTTAATCCTAAATGATAGACATAATATAATGTCGCGATATTTTTTTAGATAATGTATGAAAAATCAGATTTTTTAAAATACATAATTATTAAAGAAACTCTTAAAGATAAATATGTTTCCCTGTTTTTCCACATTTCCCATTGTTTCTTCGCCCCTAGTAACAGCGTTATGTTTTAGAGACAAACCTTCCCTGATAAATTTTCTGACACAAAAATATATTTGTTAAGAGTTCCTGGGATTCTCTAGATAGATAGTTTGTAAATTTTAACTCATACATTTCGCGTTTTAAACCGTTAAAAGTATTTTATTAAATTTGTACTACCGTAAACTACAGACAGTATTTAACAAATCGTTTATTTAAATTGCTTCCGTATACAGGTCCTAGTAAAGACATAAACAAAATAGTTTATAGCCCTCTGTATTTTTCCTTGACGAGAAACAAGTTAACAAATGAGAACTGAAGTTTAGTTTTTTGTTTTAAATAAAGTGACATCTGTATTATATTAAAATTAGATCTTTATAGGTTCTTATTAAGATCTACTTACTTAATTTAAGTCATTGTCATAACTAGCTTTTACGAAAGGAAAAAAAATAATGTCAATATTTAAATTTTAAAATGTACATTAGGTAATAAAAAGTTGTGAGATTACATTAATACAATAATATGTAAGCAAATCAACAGCAAACGTTTTATTATGTTAAAGCTTAAACTTTTACAGATGCGGTGCATTATTTGCTCTTGAAATCACACAATAACCAACAAATATAGGCTATTAAGAAAAATTCTAGATGCTTATGTCGTATGCAAAAAAACTCTGCATATTTATCATCGCATTTGTGAGGGACAAACTTTTCAATGTATCTAGTCAACAGTATCAGTGTAGCATAAGTTTTCGTACAATATAAGCGCGTTTTAAGTTTGAATTCTAAAAATAATTCGCTGCTACAGAGAAGATGGTTTTGGGGAAGGCTTTAAGTTTTTTACCTTTGTTGCTTCTTTCTTGCAACTTTGCTTCAGCTAAGGTTGCACGTAAGTAATTAATTAAGTTAATAATTACTTTTAAATTTTTGGTAATTTTTGAAATTTTACAAATTAAGAATTTTTATAATTTTTTTTCCGTTATTATCTTAACAATTATTTGTGTTGTATTCGTATAGTAAATTGATATTGGAAAATAACATTCTATTTTGTTTAATTTTTTACCATAAAAGTGACCTTGTACTTGACTTGTCAATGTTAAATAGAAGGTAATAGTGAGAAATAAGGTTTAATTTAGAATGGTCAGTATTAACGAAAAAGTTAATAATAGCGCAATTTGACCTGCCAAGTACTTAATATGACTTTTACGTATATTATTACGAGCATTGACATTTAAGGAGATGTTTCTTAACTTCGCGCCAGAGGTCACTAGTGAGTTATTGCTTCGGTTTCATAATTTTTGACTTGAAAGCATTGTCTGTAGTTTGCGCGAAGGGCACAGTAAACTTTGAACTGTTCAAAAGGCGATTTTTTTTAAACTACTACCCGTCGTTTGAGATGATTTACGATGGAAAATAAAATTCCACATGTCTATTCAATATATGTCGTTTTAAGCCGTAAAAAATGTTTTATACAAACAAAGTGATATTTTAAGCTAAGCAATCATTACACAATGTTTTGGACTGCTATATATCGCAATCGGATTTCGAAGGCTAAGATTTTGCAATTTTGTATTGCTCATAATTTTACTTGAGGTCATATTATAATGATTAGTTATCGATCAAACTTGCATCCACGTAATAACCGAAATCAATCTAAAAAATTACAATATATTTTTTATTATCAATTTCCTTGGAATAATAGAGTATTAGATTGGTGCTCGTGCGCAATATTTATAAGACTATGATGAAAGTAAAAAAAACATGTACTTAAATAGTTTTTTTTGCTTTGATTTTAAAAACTGATTACGTATTGATTGAAGTTTTTTTTCTGAATAGTATACGTTAAAAAAATCAATTTGTAATGTTTACAGACGCGAACTGTATTAGTTAATAATGACTATTTTTACCATGAATCCATAATGTAACGGGGGTCACGGTCTTTGAATGAATAGTTTTATCGTTTACTTCCAAAAATATTGATTGTGTAAAACATTCAATGTGCGATAATTGCTGTTCAATAATTTAATTTTTGTGAATAAGAAACAATTTGTAAAATTAATAAAAGGTAAATTCGTGGGAGTTAGCGTAAGAGTGATGTGAGGTGTAGCTCAATTGGTAAGAGCAACACAACAGAGCGCCCCAAGTCCCGAACGACTCGTAATATTCTTTGACATCTATAATCGATTTTTTTTTAAATAGTGCCATTATACACACATGTAAAAATATTAAAGTTACAAAACCCAGAAACATAATATTTTTATCTGTTGTATGGTTGTCAGGCAATAGCTTGACGAATTTTGATATTTAGAAGCGGTGATAAAACAGTAAGTAATAATCGAAAAATCGTGTTATAACGTCTACCTCGTTGTGCCAATAACTCATTTCAAATCTCGACTATGTCATTATGTTATTTAAAACCCGAGACAAATACGCGGTTTATTAGGCCTTCGAAATGCACTCATAAAAATATGCATACAGACCGCAAGGCCGGACTGTGTTAAGTGCTATATTTCTCTACACTTTGCGAGTATTATTTACGAAGTCAACAAAGAAATCTATCTGTTTGTTTAAAAACCACTTATGCCCTTGCTAACAAAAAAATAATGATTATTGTCGCCATCTAAAAAAGATACAAAAAATTGCAAAATTATGTCGGGGGGAAACGGCGGCCTTATCACTAAAAAGTGATCTTCCGAATATCCAAAGCAAAAATAGGCCGACAGCGCATTCGGTTAGATGTTGGGGCACTTCAAGTGAACCCCATGCTTGTCTTTCCTTCTCTATCATAAAAGAAGACAACCTTGTAGATGGAGATTTACAATAATAATTGATAGTGGGAGTAACACTAATAACTATGAAAAATTTATATGATGTTAAAAATGTACTAAAAATTGGATTTAATGATTTGGCAGTAGTTTACTTAATCGAATTAGTAAAATATGTACCGACGTGGGTAGTAAAGCCTAATATTAAACATATAAGTTTCGTCGTTTATCTGCTCAAAAAAAAAACGGCGTCATTCTCGCCTAACCCAATACAGAAACTACACTTCAATATTTAACTTTAAGTAAAAGTGCTTATATCTTAATGTAATAATTTCTTCCAAAACGTTAATTTATTAATAGAACGTTTAAATACATTATTATAAAGTAATAATACAATTCATTATTTACAGCTGATTACATCAAACCCTGCCCTGGGCTTACATCGGAATGTTTGCAGAAGAATATCCTAGAAACAATACCCCTGTTTGTGAAGGGAATTCCGAGTATTGGAATTAATTCCTCAGACCCGCTTTACCAAGAGCGGGTGGACCTTGAACTACCTGGAGGCTTGCAAATACATTTTAAGGATGGTGTTCTCACGGGGTTTAGGAAATGTGTTGTGGAATCTGTTAAGTGAGTGTTTTGTTGACCTGTTTATAGTATTGAATTTTGCATAAACAAGTGGGTAAATAAGCAGGATATAAATAAAACTATGGACTATACTTATATTCAGGAAATTGATACGGAAGAGAGCTTCTAAAAGTCTTTTTAAAATAGTATATACAATACTGAAACACTACTTTGATATTTAATATGTATGACATGACCTCATATTATTTCATTTCTATTATATTGAGGTAAGATGTCTAATGCGCCCTAGTAGATTATGTTTGTTCATTCAAATATCTTAATTTTATTTCAAGAAGAACTGATCTTAATTCATAAACTTTGTAGCGGTTGGTATTGAATAGTATTGTCATAATATGTTATAAGGGTTTTTTTTATGTCTCGCATTAGATAACCCTTTTCTCATCATTTATTTGTTATTCCTTTCAGTTATGCGGACTTGGAGTCGAATTTGTCTCTACGCTGTAATTTAACTGTGAAAGGAAAGTATACGGCAACAGGGAGAATATTAATTGTATCAATAAATGGGGATGGAGACGCGAAAATTAAAACACGTAAGTATCACTTGACCAAGTAATCCGACTGCAGGTCGACTTATAACCAAAATCGAAGGAGTTTGTATAGAAGGATGTTTTACTTAACTTTTCATGTAAGAATGATGAAATTGTCTTGACTGTATTAGTAGAATGTTCGTGACAAAAATATAGCACCACCGCAGATATTAAACACGCCTTGAATGTGTTTATTTAACACTCCATATTAGCCCAAGTCAAATCAGATAAACTCTATTTAAAAAAAGTCATGTTACCGTATTACGACTTGCTGCTTGCTATTTGATTTATACAATATATTTAAAAACAATACAATAGCTTAAGAACGTGGAACTCAAAGATACGCTAAGGAATAGACATAAGGAGACGGTAATGAAGGAGTGCTAGTGAATAAATAATATTACTATGAGAAACAAATAACTGCAACTAATTGAGCAGTCTCTACATATTTCATTCCATCATATTTACGTTTGACTCGACTTCATACGCATCAATAAGCAATTCAATCATGTACACCTTATAGACGTGTAATACATTTTCAATATCCCCCCCCCACAAGGGGGGGTATTGATAAAATGTGCGCTTGCTACAAAGCAACATTCAAGCTTATTTTTTTTCATTCCTTTTTTTACATTGTCAAAAAACTTGTTCTTAGTTTGTTATTTAAATTTGTATTAATAACGATAAACAAAATACACTCTAGTGCGCATGATTTCAATGCTGTCATACCTGTCTCGTGATTCCATCACATTTGATTGATTAGTAATTAATCAATCAAAATTGATTTAACTACAGATAAAAATTTAAATCGTGCATCGATGCAGCAAGATTATTTTATTTAAAGTTCAAGGTTTAAAGCTCTCAAAAACAGTCTAGAGGTTCTGATGTCTACATTTTTTTAATGATAAAGGAATACAGCAAATACCCCAGCCTATAGCATCTAAAGAAGATGCGCTGACCTATTTTGGCTTTGGCTATTGGGAAATGCACAGACGAATGAATTGATTAGAAAATGTTTGGCTCTGGTGAGGATCAAAACCACGACCCGTTGAATAAAAGCCGTACATTGACACCATTACACCAACGAGCCCGTTAGATATTACTTATATTGTAATCATGTAACAACTTGAATAATTGCGTTGGCGTTTTCGAAAATCGTAAAAACTACAAATACAATTTATATATTTTCAGCAAACATTCGTTTCGATGCAAAGCTCAAATTTGAAGACGTAACACGGGATGGTGTAGTATACAGACAAGTTAAGGACTACAAAGTAAAATACCGATTTGGAGACAGAGTCACTTTTTCATTCACCAATTTGTTCAAGGGAAACCCACAACTGAGTAAGTCTACTTCCGTAATATTTCTGCCCGTATACCGACCGATCTTTAAGTAAAAAATGAATGTTATTGCGTCATGGTATCTATCAAAGCTGCTATTAGTTAGGGTAACACAAAAATTATACTAGTATAATGGGCTTTTGTTACTTCCTTTTTGGAAGGCCTTGTTTTTATTATTTATTAATTATGTTTTTTTGTTTGTTGTTCGTAATTTAATTATTGATTTTTATAGTTCACTCTTAACATAATATTATATCAAGCTATTTGTTTTAAATGTTTTGTGACGTTGACATTTTATTTTTTAGGTGAAACAGTTCTGCTTTTCCTGAACGAAAATTGGAAGCAAGTTGTAGACGAATTTGGGAAACCTGTTGTCGATACAATTATAAAAGCAACATTTGATAACATCAAACGTTTCTTCGAAAAGATCCCGAAAGATGAACTCATTGTGGATTGAGTAGTTAAGTAAAATAGACAGTGCCATAAGGAGTTTGTAAATATGTACCTGTATTATAAGTTGCCTAGAATAAAGCTGTGATCTTAAATAATAAATTTGTGTTTTTTTTAAGCGATTAGTAGTTAATGTATCCGAAATGGATTTTGTCAAAAATATTTTTATTAATAATATTTTGGACTCGTCACAAACTTAACTATCCGTCGCTTACAAGTACTACACTGCACTAAGATTATTAAACGAGCAAATATAGATTCAATTTACCTGCAGAAATGAATAGGGAAAAGTAAATTTTCCCCATACAATATCCTTGATAAGACCTATAAGTTATTTAATAAATAAATAAAAATTATATTATTATAAATCATATTAGAATTAATTTATTAATGAGACTTTAGTAAAGTGATTAAAAAATAAAATTTTGCTAAGTTTTGCGTTAAGCGCAAGCGGTCTTGGGTTCAAAACTGAAAGTAAGGAAAAAGAAACTACATAGTTTTTTTCGAGAACAAAGCTGTCTAACTAACTACTTGCCTATAAATATAAATGAATCAATAAAAATTACACAGTTATGTGTCTTACTTGTTCTCCACTTAGCTATAACGTGATTTTAAAATATTTATCTATATAGAAAGGCTTTTTATCTAAAAGGTCTAAAATTGAACTTACCGACGGGAAAATCGAACGGATAAATCATCGAAAAAAACTGTGACATAAAACTAAAAGGGTGAAATCCCTCTTCAAGTTTGAATTTCGGAATCAAATAGTTTTGTGTGTGCGGCATACTACTAAATTTTATTTTCGTTCTATCCTCGCCGTCTACCCAATCGTCGCTATAACTGGCTTTGATGTTATTTTCCGTCACGAGTACATCAACAGTAACGTTATACGTTTCTGGTGATTCGTGTTCTTTCAAAATCTCTTTTGTTATTGGGATTATTGGAACGGAGTTTATTTCCATCATACCAAAATCTAGTGGCGCCTCTTGCGGTTCATCCGTGAAAGGCGTTATTGTAGTTGTAAAGAAGTTATCAGTGTCTATACCGGTAGTCGTTTTACGAATGTTTATCGAATTCTTTAAACTGTTGTATTTCTCCAGCCAAGATTTCACTGCCAGCGAATTGTTGTTCACCAGGAATTCTCTGTTTTTTAACATTTCGCCATTATCGATCTCCAAGCGATGCGCATTTTCCATGTCATAATGAACTTTTGGGTTCACCTGTCGATTGTCCCTGTAGGCGGTCTCGAAACAATTATCCCACACAAGCTGGGACGCCTCCGATGTGTTATTTTTATCGTAATTCTCCTTTTCCATTTGACTTGTAGAATTTCCTTTGCGAGATGAAAGCAATTTGAACTTTTCTTCGTTTCCATCGGTTTTTTCATCGGAATTCCTTTTTTCAACCGGGTAAATTGGTGAGATTGCTCGGAAATTTTCCCCTCGTGCTGCTAACGTCTCGTCGAGGACGCCGGGCGGGGTGACATTAAGATTGTATCCGGCCGACACCGCGAGAGTCGTTTCCGAACTCGTTGTCGCTTGGCGAACGGAAAAATTCGATTTGGTCGCGTCTTGTAACGCGTTTAAACGATTCACTGGATTAAAAACAGTCTGCGATATAACTTGATTAAGAAGGATTATGTAAATGATTGTGGATTTCATCTTTATGCCATATTTACATCACTTCGCGACGTTTCATTACAAGTATCAATGATGAACTAAGTTGTGGAGTAGGGCATTGAACAGGGGATTTAGAGCACTTAGCAGTCTGCCCAACGATGTTGCACAATCGTGTCGAGTCCACTGCCTTTACTGGATTATGTACAGAGTAGTGAGGATGAAATACTTTTTTTTACAAATAACGTGTCACTTAAAATAAGAATTTTTTATGACTTAATAAACAAAACACGAGATTTCGATAAGGGGCAAATTAAATGCCTCTTTGATAATTCACCTAATTTTCGATGTGGCTATGTTACGTGTAGTAATAATTAAAATACAAGCCTTTACATTGCGCCTTATATATAATTAGTACACATTTAAATAAAATACTTTAACGGTTTTAAACGCGAAATATATTACTTAAACTTATTTGAAAATAACTTTAACGGCCCGACGTTTCGGATGCTTTGCAGCAACAAAACAATTTTCAAATAAGTGTAACTAATATATTTCGCGTTTTAAACTGTTAAACTGTTTTATTTAAAAAATCGTTTCTTATTTACTTCACCTATAAGGGATAACATCCCTAATAGGTAAAGTCAATATAATTTATAAGCAAAAATGGTTACAGATAATTGATACATGGAGTGGAATATTTTTCTAGAGTTGTGTTATTCTGTGTAAATCAAACAAAATCCGCGGAAGAATTTATTGGCTATTTCCGACGTGGCATAAATACGTTACAGTAACAAGTCAATACTAACAATGTATTATATTGCTTTCTGCTTAATAAATCTACGAATTCAGCTGAGATTTATTCTCCGTTTTCACAGGTAGCTGAACGTTTGCTTTGATTTCGAAAATCTTCGCGTACACAAAGTAAAATGACCCTTAACTTAAAAGGTGTCAAAAGGCTTAAAAGTGTCTTTTCGTTTGCTGCTGGAAATGAGGGCACGTGCCCGTTAAGAGCCATATGTGTGTTAAGTCAACATTCTGCTTTCTTACCAAGTGAGGTTTTCCGAGATTTTTTAAGGGTAAATTGACTGGTCGCGACTAAAAATCGGGTCAGCGGGTCTCGGTGGCGTGTCATGTTCATGTGCCACCAGAGTCGTACTAGACGCCCGAATTTTCAACTTTATATTTTTAATTATAAGAAAACAGATGGCGCTAGCGTGGCTAAATTCGACTTGTCCTCCATCCTATCCACCGTGACAGCTGCTGAAAAGCATTCGAAACTTCAAATCGATATTAATTTACTGTTATGGTCTGTGAAAAGTGCTTTATTTAATAAGAAAATTATTACCTACATCTTCTACAAATATAACTTCTTATTAGCTTAATCATTAACTTTTATGGGAGAATACAGATTGCGCAATAGATTATATCAATAATGTAATATTTTTTAAAGAAAGCGGTGCTGTTTTAAATCTATACTAATATATATATAGCTCTAGAGTTTGTTTGTCAAAACGCGCTAATCCGAACAGCTAATTCAGTTCGAACCAGTAGTTCCTAACTACCGGTTCGAACTGAAAAAATATTTTTGTGTTGGTTAGAGACGCGACCGATGTCGTGGGCAGCTTAAATTTATAAAGATGTAGACGAAGTCGCTGACACAGCTAGTAATGTATCAAACACTAGTATTTGTCTGTACATTATTAAGTAAAATGACTTAATTCGGCTCTGTTAGGCCGTATTTCTATTAATTACCCCCACAACTAGGTCATAGCCCATCTTAGGTAGCCAACGTTTAAAAGAGGTTGCAAGCGACACCTTTTAGAGATAATTTCTACAAAAGTGAATTATCACGCTTTGAAGGGTGTTAAAATATAATAGTATTTAAGAGAAATAAGTAAAATACTCAACATAGTATTTATAGCATTACCATATGACAATTAATTTGTTGATCTTTAAGTATTTGGTAAATTCCAGAAATAAAAAAAAGATTATAGATCATTATGTATAATTAATCTTGAATCACAGTTTTATTAAGTAAAAAAATAATAAATATATTTACCACAAAATAGTACTGTTGTGCAGACTAAAAACAACACTTTCTTTTGAAATATAAATTGTACATTAACCATATTGTACATTTGGAACTAAACTAAATCGCATTTCACATGCATACGACTAATATAATAAATATTTTATATATTTTATATATCGCTTAGCGTATACAATATGCATGCATATTGTATACGCTAAGCGACGAGAACTGTTAAAATTCGAAACATATGGTTCTAAATTGAAAAGCTAATATAATTAAGTAGCAGGCCTGTACAAGTTCTCAAAGTAATCTCCTTGCCGATCGTGGAGCGTTAGGAAGTTCCTGCAATTTATGCATCACTAAATTGAGATTGCCGTTTGAAAGTAATTAAGTCATAACTAGGGAATGACCAGTGATTTACGGGCAATTTCCTTTAATATCCGAGATGTGAAATTGATTTAAATTTCAAGATAGGTTTCTATTAATATTAAATTTATATTTCGCTAGCTGTGACTGCGCCCGCGTGGAATAGTTAATGTGGCCATCAAAATTTATTTTTGCCAACAACCTCCTCAGCTTTATAAATTATAGAGATATGTCTATCTTTTAAGGTAGACATATACTGTCATCTGTTACGGTAATTTTATAGATTTTGACATTAAATTGGAACCGTAAATACTTTTTGATTTGGTAACCGTTTACGCAGCGCTCGCATCGGAAGCCCTCAAAAATGAATATCCACTATCTATCCAATGCTTCTTCGCTCCTATTGGTCACGGCCTGATAGTCTTAACCTAGCCTTCACGGTAAATTCTAATATACTCCTTTGTTTGAACGCCTGCATGTCCCACAGCTGGGCTTTAAGAACCCATGCTGCTCATGTGTGGGTTGTCACTGAGGACTTCAGTCGTGGTGGCATTTAATTCTAAACTCCTGTTAGTTTGGTAATAGAAAAATTCCAAAGCAGGTTTCAACAGCCAACAACTGATGTGCAGTTAGGTGCACTAACGACTAGACTTTATAGTTACTTACATGTATATAATTATTATATTTAGTAAAATATATACTTTCTGGTATTAACTTTTCCAACATGCCTCACCTTACCGCAGTAGATGTATTTTTATTTGCACGTGCCCTGTAATCTCCTTATATAAAAATGGATTAAAAAGTTTACAACGATGATTAAAGGCTATAAAAAATATGTAGCAATTTTCCGTGTTTCAAGAGAGGCAGAAGTTTTGTTGGAAACAACTCTGTGGAGATGATTACTTCACATCTTTTTCATATTACGTTGTATCTACAAGTAGACTGTAACATTTGCGAAATTATTTTGACGTTCCGTTAAAATCGTATAAGATATTTACTACTGGAACTCGTGTTTTAATCATTAAATAAAATACCTTAACGGTTTAAAACGCGAAATATATTAGATAAACTTATTTAAAATAATATATTAACTACCTCCCAACATATTGGATTTGCAGCAGTCGTGGTCACTGGAGACTAATGATGGAGGTTGTGTAATATCAAAGTAAAATTTGCTACGCCAGCGCCATGTGTTCCTTCGTTTTTCCTAATATGTTTCGCGTTTTAAACTGTTAGTATTTTATTTGACCGTTAATTATGTTTAGACCCTCGTTGATTACGGGCAATATTTATTTTAACGCGCGAGTGTTGTATTGCTAAAATACTTACTCAGGAACTTTAAAAATTATAGAGTGACTAGATTAAAAAAAACAACTATATACTACCAGAAAGTGCACTATGTCACTATTAATGTGATGTATAGTATTGTATGAGCAACTAAAGACACAATCTGTTTGGGAACACATGAAAATCCAATAAGAAAGTTAAACATAGGATGGAAACTTAATTAGAGTTCTGTAAGACTTCAGACGGTGTAGACGGTAGATTGAGTAAAGATGGGTCCTGAGTAATACGTTATACATTGTTAAGTCTACCTTATGACATAAAAAATATTCTCTTACAGTTGTTTTTTGTATGTAACAAATAAATCTAGATTTAGTACATCCGCCATTTTTACACAATTACACAATTTAGTTTATAGAGACTACCTACTACTAAGTTAACTAATCTATTTCTCGTTTTAAACCGTTCTAATTGTTTTTTTTTAACTATTCTAAAGTTAAATACTGTCCATAGTTTACGCGAGTAGTACAAATTTAAATTAAACACTGTAACGGTTTAAAACGCGATATATTAGTTAAACATATTTGAAAATGATTTTTAACTTCGGCCCGACGTTTCGGATGCTTTGCAGCAGCCGTGGTCACGGGGAGACGTCAGTCTGACGCTGACGATATTGTATTCTAAGCTGTAAAATCCTAGACAATGATCAGGAACCAACATAACCTTATTTAAAGTTCCATTAAACTATCAGCTATCTTACCGTACTAGACGCAGAACTTGCAGATCGTTTTTCACGTTCGTTTGTTTACGTTAAGCTCGTTATAGGTAAGCGTACACCGTCCTTGTTTTCCTGAAATTCAATCAATTTTCCACACTTCATAAGTCTTCTTAATTTGAGAGGGTAAGTTATAAGACTTATGTAAAATAATTGTTGAACATGTATTAAACATGAAATTTATTTATTAATAACTGATTTCGACGTAGATATGAGATTCTGGGCTCTTGAAGAAGGTTGGGAGACTGGAGAAAATTAAGAGCAACTTTAGAATAGTTTTAAAAAAACAATTAGAACGGTTTAAAACGAGAAATAGATTAGTTAAACTTATTTGAAAATGATTTTTAACTTCGGCCCGACGTTTGCAATCTAGCGTTGATATCTAGCGCCATTCGAAAGTACCTACACATTTTGTGAATTCCATTAAAGGCCTAGTCTTTATCTGGAGTTTGGCTATCACTAGTGATAGACAAACAGACAGACAGTAAGGTCTTAGCAATGCGATTCTTTACGTTACGGTTTATACCTTTCCAGTACGGAACCTTAAAAAAATATTCGCTTCGTATGAATATGTAATTTGTTATA